TTTATGAAAGCTAGTAGTCCCCTATAATAAAAAATATTTTTCCAAAATTTTCTTTTTTATCAGAATTAGGTGCTTTTTAGGTGCTCCTAAATAGTCCAAGAAAAATAGAATTGATTAATTATTAACTGAGTTACAGATTTTTTTCAATTATTAGGGGACTGCTGGCTTTACGTTTACATGTTGGTGTGTCAGAATGGAAAAAAAAACTTCGGGATCTATTCAATAATTAGGTGCTTTTTAGGTGCTAATTAGGGCTTCTAATTAAAAATTAGGTGCTCCTATAGTTTTTGAGAAAATCAAAAAAAAACTAAGGGATTGCTAGGTTTTTGAAAGCTAGTAGTCCCCTATAGTAAAAAATATTTTTCCAAAATTTTCTTTTGTATCAGAACTAGGTGCTTTTTAGATGCTCCTAAATAGTCGAAGAAAAAATAGAATTGATTAATTATTAACTGAGTTACAGATTTTTTTTTTAATTATTAGGGGACTGCTGGCTTTACGTTTACTTGTTGGTGTGTCAGAATGGCAAAAAAACTTCGGGATCTATATAATAATTAGATGCTTTTTAGGTTCTAATTAGGGCCTCTAATTAAAAATTAGGTGCTCCTCTAGTTTTCGAGAAAATCAAAAAAAAAAACTGAGGGATTGTTAGGCTTATGAAAGCTAGTAGTCCCCTATAGTAAAAAATATTTTTCCAAAATTTTCTTTTGTATCAGAATTAGGTGCTTTTTAGATGCTCCTAAATAGTCGAAGAAAAAAAAGAATTGATTAATTATTAACTGAGTTACAGATATTTTTTTAATTATTAGGGGACTGCTGGCTTCACGTCTACTTGTTGGTGTGTCAGAATGGCAAAAAAACTTCGGGATTTATATAATAATTAGGTGCTTTTTAGGTAATAGATCCCGAATCAAAAAAAACTAAGGGATTGCTAGGTTTATGAAAGTTAGTAGTCCCCTAATAATGAAAAAAATTTCTAACTCAGTTAATAATTAACCGATTCAATTTTTTCTTCGACTATTTAGAAGCACCTAGAAAGCACCTAATTCTGATATAGAATAAGATAAGATAAAAATAAAAATATATTTTTTACTATAGGGGACTGCTAGTTTTCATAAACCTAGCAATTCCTTAGCTTTTTTTTGATTTTCTCAAAAACTTTAGGAGCACCTAATTTTTAATTAGAGGCCCTAATTAGCACCTAAAAAGCACCTAATTATTATATAGATCCCGAAGTTTTTTCGCCATTCTGACACACCAACAAGTAAACGTGAAGCCAGTAGTCCCCTAATAATTAAAAAAAATCTGTAACTCAGTTAATAATTAATCAATTCTATTTTTTCTTGGACTATTTAGGAGCACCTAAAAAGCTCCTAATTCTGATACAAAGAAAAAATTTGAAAAAAAAATTTTTTTACCATAGGGGACTGCTAGCTTTTATAAACCCAGCAGTCCCTTAGTTTTTTTTGATTTTCTCAAAAACTAAAGGAGCACCTAATTTTTAATTAGAGGCCCTAATTAGCACCTAAAAAGCACCTAATTATTATATAGTTCCCGAAGTTTTTTTCCACCTTGGGACTGCTAGGTTGATAAACCTCGCCATGCCCATGCGAAACGTCGTTGTCATACAGTCTGTCCCTGTACTTGTATGATATAGGATGTCACAATATTATGGAGGAGTGTTATTTTAATTTTTGGATCCTATTGGGGAGTTTCACAATAAATTGCTGCATAATTTTCACACGACATTTCCTGTTAGGAAAATTAAATTAACAGATAAAAAACCCTTGTTTACCAGAAGACTTAAGGTGTCCTCTAAAAATCTTCGAAATCTTTACTATATTAGAAAATTCACAGATAATCCACATTTTTACACCTATTTCAATAACTACCGGTCAATCTACAGAAAACATAAAGTTGGCCAAAGATTTACATTACTCGTACCGTCTTGCAAATTCATCCAACAAATAAAGGGAAAGTTGGTCGATTATAAACGATATTCGTAAAAAAAGTCAGTTTTCCCCAAGCATCAATGATAGCGACATGTCTCCTGACTCAGTCCAACAAATTTTACTGTTCTATGGCAGAAAATCTGACCAAAAATATTACTCAACACACTGATCCACTTAGTTTTTTCTTAAATAATGCAGGGGTCAATTCAATCGTTCCTTTTACTTTTTTCCTACTTCCCTTATAGAATGAAAACAGATCATACCAGGTATTAAAAATAAAAAAAGCTCTGGGGATGATGGTCTGCCTATAAAATTATTTGCAATTTTGCCTGACAAGGTTTTGGATGTTTTGGTTCAGGCAATCAATTTGTCTTGGGAGTCTGGTGTCTTCTCTTCATGCCTTAAGCTGGCAAAAGTAATTCCATTTTACAAGAGCGGAGATTTGGGGGATCCCTCTAATTATAGGCCCATATCACTACTTTCTAATCTATCCAAAATTGTAGAAAAGCTGGTTAAAAGTAGAGTAGTCTCATTTTTGAATGCAAACAATGTTCTGAGTTCTCTCCAATTTGGCTTTCAGGAACATCGCAATACAGATTATGCGATTTTCCAATTTTTGGAAGGTGTTTATTCCGGCATTAAGTGGTGGAGTAACTGCAGCAGCTTTCTGCGATATATCAAAAGCATTTGATTGCGTCAATCACCAGATCCTGTTGCAGAAGCTCTCTCATTATGGCTTTAGAGGAGTGACACTCACATGGTTTCAATCCTATTTGTCTGATCGTCATCAGAAGGTTTACATTGGGTCGTCTCAATCGTTGGTTTTGGAAAATAATTGGAGTGTACCTCAGGGGTCGGTACTGGGACCACTCTTATTTCTTATTTTTATAAATGACCTTGCATCAGTAAATATTGCCGGGAAAGGACCCCGCAATATTTAAATGGAAATTGGTTACCCGTGATATTTGGATGAAATTTAAATATGTTATTGGGGATGCCGTAAGCAATATTTTTTACCATGGGCACAACCCTGTATATATGACAGGTGAGGCGTGGTTAGCTGTCAAATATTGGAATCTTATATCCAAAAGAAGAGTGACTATGGCAGATTTTGATGATCGAAGTATCGATGTCTACTAAGTCGACCAAGTCAAGTCGAAAAATGTCAACCATTTTGACACCTGCCAAAACCCTGTCAAACGGCGGCACTCATCTTTTCCAGTTTTCAATATTTCATGATGTCATTTGACACTTTTAACTTGTATGTAAATTCTGAATTCAAAAATTTTAAAAAAAAATGACAGAACTGTCAAAACCTGTCATTTGTTTTAGTAGAAAAAAATACTCTAATCTGATTCTTTTTTGTTTCAAGGTAGTTTATTGGTGATAAAACATTAAACAAAGTTCATGCATGTCACATTTTGACAACTGTCAGAATCTGTTTTTGCTTTTTGGTTCATATTGAGTTTGTTTGCTTAGTGAAGTTCTACAACTAAACTATAATGATAGAATAATACAATAATACAATAGAACTAAACCTTCACTAAGCAAACAAACTCAATATGAACCAAAAATCTATTAACAGATTCTGACAGTTGTCAAAATGTGACATGCATGAACTTTGTTTAATGTTTTATCACCGCTAAACTACCTTGAAACAAAAAAGAACCACATTAGAGTATTTTTTTCTACAAAAACAAATGACAGGTTTTGACAGTTCTGTCATTTTTTTTTCAATTTTTGAATTCAGAATTTACATACAAGTTAGAAATGTCAAATGACATCATAAAATATTGAAAACGGGAAAAGATGAGTGCTGCTGTTTGGCAGGGTTTTGACAGGTGTCAAAATGGTTGACATTTTTCGACTTGACTTGGTCGACTTAGTAGACATCGATACTTCGATCATCAAAATCTGCCATAGTCACTCTTCTTTTGGATATAAGATTCCAATATTTGACAGCTAACCACGCCTCACCTGTCATATATACAGGGTTGTGCCCATGGTAAAAAATGTTGCTTACGGCATCCCAATGACATTTAAATTTCATCCAAATATCACGGGTAACCAATTTCCATTTAAATATTGCGGGGTCCTTTACTTTGTTTGCAGACGACACCACAATTCTATGGCACTGTGCTGACCATCAGAGTCTAAAACGAGCTATTCTCACAGATCTTCAGCAGCTCAAATTTTGGTGAGATTCTAATCTTCTGGTGTTAAACTTAGCCAAAACAAATATTTTGTCATTTAGATGCGATCTAGGACTCGCCAACGTCCCCAATATTTCTATCGAATGTCGACCTGAGTGAGACTAAGTTTCTGGGACTTATTATTGACACTGAATTGAGTTTTAAATCTCACATAGTCAGTCTTTCAAGAAAAGTGTTTTAAAAGGCTATATAGGTAACTATCTAACAATAAGTGAGATCTATGAACCACTAAAAACAGGAATCGTTTCAGTCTAAAAACGATAATAGAAAGGTACAAATTTTGAATGGTGCACACCAGGAACAGGAACCTAATAAAGACCAGAGATCCTACTAAAAATTGTTACAGTAATATTGTTCATTTCGGATTTTTGTTGAAAAGGTCCTCAGGGATAAATTTGTTTTGTAACCGAGGTCAGAATCAATTAAACGCAAACTGTAAACGGAAGATAATTTGTCTTGGCCAAATACTTGTACCGCGTGTTGCAACACAATCCCATTCCAATAACTTTTCAAGAGAGCTTTCAGGGCTCGTATTTTCGAATATTCTCTCATACGACATTTAATACTATTTCTAATGCTCCCCATTTAATTTACATTGCTGTCAATCAAATTTCGTGTAGGAAATGTACTCGAATTGGAACAGCGACTGGGGAACAGCGTTCTCTCAAGAGAACGATTGATCTGCCTTAGTCACCCATATTGTTATTTTCATAATACTGACAAAGACAGAGCAATCGTTCTCTTGAGAGAACGCTGTTCCCCGGCTACGAGAATACGGGCCCTGGTGTAAAACAAGACCCAATCTCAAATCAAAACATTTAAATAAAAACAAACCAATTTGAATGAGGCAGTAGGTTTTTTATTAACGAAAGTATATAATATTATTGAAAGGATATACATTTTATGTAAATCTTCATTTCTACAGATTTTTTTGTCTGTTTTGTTTGATATAGTTCCAGATTTCTTTCAAAAATATTTTATACAAAATAAGGGTAGATACTATTATCATTTAAAAATATGTATCACTAATGATGTCAACCTGTAAAAATGGCCATTGGTGGAAGAAATTGCACTTACATTTTTCAGAGTTGACGGTTGAGCTAACTATATTTCAATCCTCAATATCAGGAGAATACAAAGACAAACATAATAATTCAAGCAACAATCTATCTTTATAAGAGCAACTTTTTCCATCAACAGTTAAAGTTTGGTAATAATTAATTATTAGTCTACTGGTGTACATACACTGCTTAAATATCTAGTTTAACAGAGGAATAAAAATAGCTTCACTTGCTGAAATATTATTTGAGCAAAAAGCATCTCTTAATGAAATGATATTATTTAAATAACTTGGTGCTATTTTATGAATTATTATTGAATTTTGAAGAACCATAATTCATCAGCAAAAGTGAAATTTCATTCTACATCAGAAAAATGTTATGGTATATTGTAATTATTATCACAGCAACTATAAATTCACAAAATACCTACAATTCACTTTCACTGATAAACAAAAACTGTTAGGTATTATTATAATTACTGTGAAAGGTACACGAGATATTACTGATTTCAATAGAAATAATTTTCCAAAAGCAAAAATAATTATATATATTAACTCTATATTAGGAGCAACAAAAAAAAATATCCGATGTTCTAAAAACGTCAACTGGCGTTGGCCTTATACCTATTCTAGACCTAAGTATTTATTTATATTTGTACCATTATTAAAGTTAGCCGATTTTGAAAACTACTTTAAGAAGGTAAGCATTTGTTGAAAAGTTCTAGAAAGATCAAAAACCAAACAGTTTTTTTATAAATAATGTTAATGTAAAGTTAATAATTCACCAATTTACCAAAAGTCTAAATCTGCGTTCTTACCTCTCCCCAATATGTGTGTTTAGTTTGCAAATATTAATCAGAGGTTCCAATGAATAATCTTCATTGTTTGTGACTGTTTTGCATTGAAAATTTCCTTCTCAAAACTACTCAAAAGAATTATGAATATTTGCCAACCTTGACACAGCTAAGAAAAAGTTTAAATATCAATAAACTATATTTAATAAAAGTATAAAGCTCTCAATGAAAAAAACCAAAAAACTGCGACCAGCACAAATCTTGTTTATTCAAAGAGGCCAAAACGATAACAACTACTCTAGGCGCTAACTTCAGTTTCTGACGGTTTTTCATAATCCGAATTGCTGCTTTCTAAACTTTCCAAAGAGGTAGCTGTCGACATCTGATCTGGAATTTGTAACCTCATTTTGTCCAGATTGTTGGCGCCTTCGATTCTGGCTTGTGAAGGGTGAATTGTAAGCGGAGGAGGTAGTTCGGTCTCTGACTGTGAAGCAACAAGCTAAAAAAATAAGATTGAAGTTATAAAATATTAGTACATTCATAAAAATGAATACATTTATAGAAAGAAACTAGTGTGAAATGAGAGACAGTGCATTGTACAATAGCGAAAGTGAGACACATAACACATGCAGACAATGTATGTATGTTTTTCTATTTTTGAGAATTGAAAGTGATTCTAGAGATTGTTCTTCTAGTGTTCTCAGAATTAAAAAACTTGCCAACTTGGTCGATTTAGAATTTCACAGTCACACAAGCAACATGCTTAAATTGATAAGTTTCCATTACCTACTTAACTGCGAAACTGTAACAATGAAGCAGAAAATCAAATAGCTTTTTAAAGTTGCAATTTTTCACAACCCTAGAATAGAATAATTAGGCAAATTAGTTTTAGTGAGAAATCAATTATTTTTGGAATAATAGGTGTAGAGAAACTTCTTGTAGAAATAAAATTGAATAACTTATTCAAGTGTATTGCTTCCTGCGTAATCAATTTTTTAGTGTTTGGAACAATTTAAGTTTTCCATTTATCTAAACTCATCAACCTAATCACAATGTTCGTACAATTGAAATGGGTTCTCGAAACCATTGTCTGATAAAATATTTGCTTTTTAAATAATGATTAGACAACCTTGACAATGAATAATGTTAAATGAGTATCATTTTTAGTCAACATACAAACAATTTTTTGTTATACCAAATGTAGTTAGTTTTTGTTTATCAGTAGATATTTAACTACTTACTTGACAACTTTTTAATATATTTTAAATAAAAACGTCTAGCTAGCAATTGAAAAGCGAATAATTTTTAATTTTACCTGTATAATCTCCTTCTGTGATCCTCTAGCTTCCAGCAAAAAGATACTCTCCTTGACTTCCTTGCTCGAATATTCGTGAATCTTGTCGTAGATTACTCCGTGAAGACCGATTTGTTTGAGGAATTTTATGGTGGCAGGATCGGCGTTCTGGTCGCCCCAACAGAAAACAACCAAGTTTTCTTCTTTGGTTAACTGGACCTAGAAGAGGCAAGATTTTTATCAGGAGCATTTTAACGTGCCTAATTCGATATACTCTCTTAAATCTAATAAAGTAGTTTAATTGAAACTATAAGTATTATGGTTGCTGAAGATTTATAGTTTCCATAAACCTATCTAAAGCAAGGTAATAATAGAACAGAAAGCTTTAATGTTTTCTGGATTTTTTTCATGTTCCTTCATCTTACACTCCAGTTTTTCAGTCTCCGTATCGTTATGTTAAACTACAGTAGTTAAGTAAAACGTCACCGTAGCAGGTGTTCTCAATATAATGATTTTGGTTTAACTTATAGTCATCACAGATGTCATATTAAAATAGTTATTTATGATATAAGTGCTAAAAGTGACATTTTATTTTGTGAAAAGGGAAGTTTGGGACACGACGCCGAAGGCGGAGTGTTCCATCCCTTTGAACAAAATAAAAACACTTTTAGCACGAATACACTATTGTTTCTACAAACGCATTAAAAGTGATTACTTTTAGCACTCAATGCTAAAAGTAATCACTTTTAAAACCAGTGTTATAAAATGGCATTTTAGACACTGACAGCATCCTTCAAAAATGACACTTTTAGTAACGTTTGCAGAAAAAGTTAATTTATCGAACCCAAGAGTGTTTCATTGCAAAGACACAATATAATGGCGATGAGATGTGGAGTTTAAAGTCGTACTAGTGTAATTTTGTGTTAGTGTCACTGAAAAAGTCTGGAACGTCCTCGTTTGTGCTTGACGTCTCAACTGTATAAACCCGAAAGTCTATCGAGAAAAAGCGGTTAAAAATGGCTTTGATTGGTGGTATTGAGCCATTTAGGCCTAGAGACTGTGATGTTACTTCATATATGGAGAGAATGGATCAGTTATTTGAATGTAACTGCATAGAAGAATGAAAACAAGTATGCATGTTTTTAACCCTTGTTGGAGGAGAGGCTTATGAAGTGCTGAAAGATTTGCTGTCCCCAGAACTGCCAAAGGATAAGTCATATGATCAGTTACAGAAAGTTTTGGAAAAACACTACAGTCCAAAGCAATTGGTCATTGCAGAGAGGTACCAGTTTTGTAGTGCTAGGCAAGAGAGCCACGAAGATATTTCAATGTTCACATTGAAATTGAAAAATTTATTAAAAAAAAGTTTAGGTAGTTTTTGAATGAGGCACTACGAGATAAGTTTGTATGTGGCATAAAGTCGGAATCAATTAGGCGAAAATTATGAACTGAAAAGCGGTAAGATTTTGAAAAAGCAGTGAAAATAGCTTCTAGCATGGAATTGGCAGAAGGTCAAGCAAAAACATTAGGGCCTAATTCAGTAAATAAGTTTCACATTGGAAAACACAAATTTCAGTCGAGCTACTCTGGTGAAAGGTTCCAGTCGAATAAGCCATCCACAAGTTCGAGAAAGTCTATCGGTGGTAATGTGTCTAGTGGACAGAACAATTACAAAAATACCACCTACACCAAACACTTTTCCAGCAACACTAGCTGGTTTTGATACCTACTTTTCCCCTAAGAAAAATGTAGTTTTTGAAAGGGCAAGTTTCAATAGAAGGAAATAACAGCCAGGTGAGCCTGTAGAAAGTTTCATAACAGATTTGCATGAATTACGTATCGAACACAACAAGATACTTCGTTTTTAAAAAATAATTTTTATTACTAAAACAAAAATGTTAAAATACGAGTAAAAATATAATGGTTACAATACGTTCTTAACATTAATAATATAATAATAATAAATGACTTTATTTGCACAAAATTTAGTACATAGGCGAAGAAAGCGTAGCTCTGACTAACTGTTGTGAGAGCGAAATAAGCTTAAATGAATATAATATGCTGCGTAAGCGAAAGTAGAATAAAATGTATAGTAATATTGTCCTTAAGAGGGGCTCATCTAACTCATGTGTTGTCGTAGCATTGTAAATTTGTTTGCTCAAATTGTAGCTCTACTACGGCTATGAAAAACGATTTTATAAGAGATCTGATTGTCAATCGTATTTTGGAACAAAATTTAAGCGAAAGATTACAGCTTAAATCTGATTTAAAATAAGAGGATGCGATTGTAGAGGCAAAACAATCTGAAGTGCTTTTAAAACAGAGCAATATTTTAAGGAATAGCGAATGCTATGGAAAATATGTGTATGCCATGGGTAAAAGAAAAGAGCAGAGAAACCTTAAGGGCAAGCAGAGGACAGGGCGGTCGCAGAATAGGGAAGAGACAGAATGTTATTTTTGTGGCAAAAAATCACACTCAAGGGACAACTTGCTCACGATGCAAAAAGATCGGGCATTGGTCCAAAACATAAAAATAAAAGTGTCAGATTTCAGTTGAGAAAGAATCAGAGGAGTCGAATTCAGAAGAAGACGACAACTGTCAGGAAGGGTTTTTAGGTTTAATGGTTGGGTCTAATCAAAATTCAGACTTAATGTCACAATGGTTTTGTAAACTAAAAGTAGAATGTTTTAAACATAAAATAAAATTTCTAGTAGACACTGGAGCCGATGTGACTTCTTTCAGAGAGTCTTTTAAAAAAGTTGAAAATTTCGGATGATGTCATATCGGGCCCGGATGGTCGACCTTTACGTTTCAGGTACTTCAAAATTATTTATCTCATATCCAGGAAAACAAATTGAGGTACTAATTTATATTTTAAAAAAATTGCAGTTGCCAATTTTAGGTAGAAAAGCAATAATTGATTTGAATATCTTCAAATTCACTGGTCAAGTGAACCAAGAAGTGGGGTTGTCAGATTTAAAATGTAAAGTAGATATAAATTCTGAGTTTCCTGACTTGTTTGACAGCTTGGGGAAATTCAAGGACGAAATTGAGATTAAAATTAAAGATGAGTCCATACCGTTTGTTCAGGCAGCTCCTAAAGTGGTACCATTACCACTTTTACCGAAATTGGAAAAAGAACTTAAACGTCTTGAGTCTTTGGGTATAATCGTACCTTTTGAAGAACCAACTACATGGGTCTCTCCGATTATAGTAGTTCCCAAAGGGGAGGGAGTTCATTTGTGTTGCGATTATACCAGATTGAACAAAGGTGTTTTGAGATCACACTTTCCAATAAACAAGGTCGAAGCAACTTTGGCTAAACTCACAAGATCGCGTTTCTTTTCTAGATTGGACGCTAATAGTGGGTTTTATCAGATAAAACTTAAAAAGGAATATCAAGACTTGACTATACCTTTATCATATCTACTTTTGGAAAATTTGAATACACTCGTTTTGGTTGAAATTCAAAAAAATTTTAGCTGGAATTAACGGTGTTGTTCAGCACATTGACGACATACTCGTCCATGCGGCAACTATGGAGCAACAAGATGCGATTCAGCGAGAGGTCTTGGAAAGACTTCGTAAGGGTGGGGGGGGGGGTTACTCTGAACAAAAATTAATTGATAATGGGGGTTTCAAAGGTAAATTTTTTGAGCCATTGGATTACAGGTAAAGGGATAGAAATTGAGGAAACCCGGGTGGAAGCTATATCCAAGTTTCCATAGCCAACATGTAAACGCGAGCTACAGCAGTGGCTCAGTATGGTCAATTTCACAGGTCGCTTTATTCCCAATAAATCTGATATTTTGACACCTTTAAACGAGTTATTGAAGAAAGAAGCTTATCAGAAAATAATTTCCTTGTTAATAGAAGCACACCTTGCTTAGCGTTTTATGACCCAAAAAAAAAAATTGTAATAAGTTCAGATTCGAGTTCTATGGGCTTGGGGCCGCACTTTTTCAAGTGAACGGCTCAGGAAGCAAGGAAATTGTAGCTTAGGCATCCAGAACTCCCACTCAGAGTAAGGAGCGTTACGCCCAAATTGAAAAAGAATGTTTGGGTTTAACATCGGCTTGTGAAAAATTCAGGGAATATATTTTGGGGCTTTCAAAAGTATTTTTAGAGACCGATCATAAGCCACTTATTCAAATATTAATGACAAAAAATTTGGATGATCTGAATCCCCGACTGCAAAGGTTTCGAATTCGTCCTAAAGATATAACTATGAGGTTATTTATACTCCGGGCAAAGAGTTAACTGTGGTGGACGCTTTGAGCCGGAACCCATTGAAGTATTCCTCTACGAACTGGCCAGAGAACCGCCAAATAACCATACTACCAATATCGAAACGACATTTCTGTCAATAAAAATTTCTTACTTAAAGGTACACGACTTGTAATTCCTCCCACACTGCAAAAACAAGTGTTAGATTTTATCCATTTAGGGCATCAGGGCAAAACTAAATATAGAGAAAGAGCAAAAATGAGCGTTTGGTGGGTGGGACTGTCATCTTAAATTGAAGTTTTGGTTTTAAATTGTCCAAATTGCATTGAAGAAAGGGTAAATATCAAAGAACCGTTTTTCAAAGATACTGATATTGCCACACGGGCTTTAGTATATAATAATCGCTGATGATTAGTGTCAAACCAATTAGTCTAGGAGGCAGTGACGATTTTCAGTACTTATTTTCCCAGTCAGACAACATGGATACAATTGGGGGTTTTCCGATGGGTTGAGGCGCAAAATGCGTTAAAGCTTACGAATGCATGGCCCTTTTTTTCTCAGTGATAAAAATAGGTCTACTAATGAAAAGTATACTGAAGTTACGTAAAAAATAGTCCGGCTAATCTGTATGTATAATATGTCTGGCAAGTGAAAAATTGAAGACCCGAAAATTTTCAGCCAGACTCACTTCCACTATCTGAGATAAGCCAAATTGCTATTTGCATATGCTTTATGTTCTATTGTAGTAAATATAAAATATTTATGTCTAAGAAAATAAACGTACTTGAACTTTTCATTGATCTTGTGAACCCATCTGAAAATTTCAGCCAGACTCAAAAATTCTTGTTTCGTATCACCAGGAGAACAAACTATTTGATAGACACAAACTGGGCAAATAAGTGCTAAAAAATTTCACTGCCTCCTGGACTAAATGAACAGGTTGAGGCAACTGTTAAAACAGCAAAAAGTCTTATCAAAAAGAGCAAAATAG